ACACACAGGAGGGACACGCACACATTTGGATTCACCGGCATCAGTGACTTCTAGAAGAGCCAATATTTATGTAAATGTACAAATGTAACCATCTGCCACGACACAGATGATTGGACGAGTTAATTAAAGTTGCAGTGGCCTTCAATAAAACCCATTAAATTGCGAACACACTGCTTAGGGTCTCATTGACCAGTAGCAATAAAAAACGTCAACACTACGGAAGTCTCTCTTGCGAGGTTATCGCACTCCTCCTTGGCTGCCTAATTAATTCACTGGAGTGATATCTAACTCTATCAGAGGTTATGTCCCCACCTGTTTATCTAATGGGCTTCTTCTTCCTCATTTTCTCGAGCTGTCTGTTATTCTTGACCCTATCCCTTTGTCTCCTTGTCTCCCTGAGGATTTGATTTAGATTTCCCTGCAGACCAGGTGGGAAATGACTCGTGTTGCTGCTCATATGTCTATAGTGACAGATTAGGTACAGGAATCACAAGCACCAAGCCAAGGATGAGAAGAAAGAAGGAAAGGAGACGGAGCAAAAGGTGAAGCAACAGGAAGCTAATGCGTGGAAAGAGGAGTACCTGTAGAATGTGAAAATTGAAAAACTGAAAGAGATGGCAACAAAGGCAAGTTGGGGAGGGGGGTGACAGAAGGAGATGGCGAGAAAAGGAAAGAGATTCTAATTTATAGCTGTGGAGTCACGGATGAAGTAGCAAGGAGAAGCCAAAAAGACAAAAAGAGGGAAAAGGAACAGAGGTGACGATAACTAAAACAAGAATGTAAAGAATAACGCAAAGAAGAAAGAGGCTGCATAGATGATACTGCTTAAGTTTGTTTCTTAAAGAAAACATATCTGCCCTTTAATGCAACCTTTCTACAATATCAACGTGTGAGTAACTGCTCGGCTTAAGGACCATAGTGAGCAGTCTACCAACAGTTCTCTGGCAGCATGAACCCTGCCTGAGCTACAAAATGACCTCCAGCAGGCCTCTGGTGTGAATGTGCCTGAACAAACAATCAGAAAGAGACTTCATGATGGTGGTCTGAGGTCCTCCAGTGGGCCTCATGCTAGTGGGAACCGTGGAGCCCAATTGACATTTGCCATAAAAAAGCAGAATTGGCAGGTTCATCACTGGTACCCTGTGCTTTTCACTGATAAGAGCGGGTTCAACCCAAACACATGTGACAGACATGAAAGGAGAAGGCCGTGGACAACTTTACTCTGCCTGGAACAGCATTCAGCACGATCGGTTTGGTGGTATGTAGCATATCCACGAAGGGCTGGACAGACCTCTACAGGCCTGGCAACACCACCCTGACTACCATTAGGTGTCAGGATGAAATCCTTGGACCAATTGTCAGACATGATGCAGCTGCAATGGATCCGAGATTCCGACGATCTCTTTCTGTTCCTCCACCGCTGCTCTCTATCCTCCCTCCTTTCTACCTCCTCCTAACCTCCAGCCTCATCTCCGGAACTGAAGTCAGAGCTCTAAAATACAGAAACTTGTACAAACATGATTATATATTCCCGATATTGTCTCAAATACTGTTGACTACTTGTCAGCAAATTAGACACGCAGGCCTCCGGTCTCCTGATAGCTGACAACAAGGCAACTGCTCACACTCAACACAGATTAAAAAACAGCAAGACATGTTTGTCTCACAGTCGATAGCTCGGATTATGCACTTGAATTGTGATAGGTAAGAAGACAGTGTTCAGTTGACTGCTTTCTATAGAAGTGAGATTGTACACACTCTACCTTTACTGTAACACCACAACAACTCATTTTAAAGGTAGTTAACAGCTAACATTAGCATGAGAATATTGTAGCAATGGTCTCAACATGCTCTTCATGCAAAACACTCATTTAAAGCTGTAACTCTAATATAGCTTAAACTTAACAAATGTTTGATGTTTTTCACACACTCCTTTGTTTTAGACTTCCAGATTTTCTGTGTAGTAAGCATAAGTAAACATTAGTGCTATAGCCTGTCAGGAACTTGAGTTTAGTTTGTTTGCTAAGTATTGCTTTATCTACAACCTCTTGGACACAGCTACTATATATGGAAATACTCCGGACGTGACAGACTCATGTGGCCAGTTACAGATAAAACCATGACTAAAAAATCACTTTTAGTTCATGTTATCAATGGTCCATTGCACTATTCACTCATAATATAACCAAGACTGTTGGTTCAGATGTCCCGGATGACCTTTATTACTTGGCAGCCCTGTTTTCACCTTCACGCTAACTACAAACAACAAATGTCTAAACCACACATACAGTAGTGTGAAAAAGTGTTTGCCCCCTTCTTAATTTTATATTTTGTTATATTTAGTTTGTTATTTACAAACTGCATCTTGTGTTTACTTGTGTTATCTTTATCTAATATTCAAATTTGTGTGACGATCTGAAACATTTAAGTGTTACAAACATAGGAAACTTTTTCACACCAGTATAGTTGTGGTCATATTTCTAAATCATTAGCTGTTTTCTGGCGTTTGCACTGTGGTGCTCTGTGCTTCTTGCTGTGAATTAGTTCATTAAAAACGTCCCCTTTTGTCAGACTTTGTTCCAAGACTGTGCGTGCCTCGTCTTTATCTGCTATTAATCTCAGCGCTTCGTTAGTTTCACAACACCCCTGACAAATCACTTCATTTATTCGCTGCCAAATAACAGAATACTATCTATAATTTCACACTCCTCAATAACTGTCACGAGCCCCCTCAGGTAAAATGATAAATAATTGCATCACATGTATAAATCACATATTTCTGCTTCCTCAGCTTGTTGCTCGAATGGCTGTTGGTGTTTACAAGTGCCAGCTGAGAAACAAGCCTCACTGCATATTTTCTTTTTCATTTGCTCCTCTTCTCGTATTGCCAGTGACAAAGAATAATTGCTGTCAAATGAAATGATGGTACATCAGGAGGGACATCACTCCCAAGGGAGCACAACTGAAACATGTGACTCTGCGTGCCAGAAAACACACAAAAACACACATCTCTGATGAGGTATCGAGGGTTGTGTAGCAATTTTATCGATTCATGGCTTCCATAACAGCAGCTTTTCATTTAAATGGGAAATGCGATTGTTTCATGCTGTTGGGATGCGCGCAGTGCTGACATAGCAGAGGAATGAAGCTTTCTCGGCTCCTGCTTACCTATGGGGGAAAAAGATCATATTACTGATCATATTTCTCTGGCTGTAACTCATCTGTGTCAGCTCTCTGCTGATTTTAAATTTGGCTAGATTCTGAGAAAATCTAGCATGTTATTGTATCTGCAGAGGCACAAGGATGTCCATATTTATAGAGGCCAGTCGGGAACCTCTGGAGACAAATTTGTACTTTAATGTAATGGTATAACTTTATATAGTGTAAGTATAACATTATTACCTCCGCCAAGGAAGTCATGTAGTAGTGTTTATGTGAGCGTGTATCGTTCTGTCTGTAAACAAAATAGATTGAAAAGTTTGAAGGAATCCATTAACAATCCATTAAAATTTGACTTACAGTGGGGCAAAAAAGTATTTAGTCAGCCACCGATTGTGCAAGTTCCCCCACTTAAAATGATGACAGAGGTCAGTAATTTGCACCA